ATCCTATTGCCATAGAGATTTAAGGGAATTCTACTGTGTGTAGCAAGAAGCCTGTAGTGACTCTTCTTGACCTGGGAACAGTAGTTGAAGTTCAGCCTTCAGCATAGAGGAGAAAAGAGATACTTACATGTTGTTCTGAAAGCCTCTCATTAGATTGTTGGATATTAAAAGTCAGACACATTAACACCTTCCCTTTACTTGTTCCTGCATTGAGATGCAAGCTTTTAGAAAAAAAGTGAAGGTCTAATGTTCCCAGAGGAAACCCCTCCCCCCATGGCCAGGCCTTCTCTTTACCAAAAAGCAAAAGACACACTAATTCTTTTAGGTTTGCTTTATCTCTGCAAAAAGCAATCCTTTTTCTGTAGTGAGTTTTCAATGAAGCCATTTTTACTGCTTTTTTTAAAATTCCAAAAGCCTACATTGAATTAGTTACACCACCACTAAGTCACCATTAATTGATTTTAAGATGCTCCCTTCAACTCCTGCAGTACTGCATTTCTCCTCCCCAGTAAAAGTGTGAGAGCCACAAAAGCACAGAAGTGCCAATCATGGCGAAACCTTTATGTTGGGGGAGGTGGGGGGAAGAAGGGGAGGGTTAAAATTTGCTTCATGTGCTTGATCTTGTGACCCACCAAAGTTGACAGTAAAGCTCATTTAATTCAAAAGCAGATTCAATTCAGAGCCAATTCAAAAGCAGAGACAGTATGCAAGTTGCTGCCAGCTGAACACCAGTGTACAGAAAGATTCCAGACCTGGGGCCCACTGCAGACACTTTTGAAGGATTCTGGTTTCTATTGCATATACTCACCAAATACCTCTACCATCAGGCCAGTCCCGTGCCATTCCAGAAGCCAACAGGAGAGGAGAAACAGGTTTATCAAATAGGAAGTGATCATCAATCAGCTGCTGCTGCTCTGCATCAGTCATGTTTTTCAAAGCATAGTATTTTCCATTAAGGTCACCTTCCAGGCTAGCCAGGGCTGAAAGCAAGATTCAGGTTTAGTACATAGACATGGGATGGTAGGTATATTTTAATAACTTCCCAGCAATTGAGAAGCTGGACACTAACAAGCATAGCAGCATTTCTGAACTGAATGGATTGTGTCCTGCCTCCCCTTACTGCACAGTTCCATAGTTCGGCTCTCAGGTCGCTGTACCTTGTTGGCAGTTGAAGAAATAAAGGTAACCATAAAGGGTATTTTTTTAAAACCTATGAAACTGGGTTCTTTAACTCCTAAGACACTGGTGAGTGGCCTTGCTTATGTAATATTGAAATAGCTTATCCAATTTCTGGCTAGCAATATAGGTCCTATTAGAGTAGCATTATGCTGTATTGAGGAGTCCTGAGCAAAGTGATACCTGTACAAAGGACAACACTGTCATTGCCTTTTACAGTCGCCTAAAATCCCATCAAACCTATTGCCCATTCCCACAGCAGTCGCCTAACGGGCAGTTAGGTGGCAAAAGCATGAGATGTTTGAGGAATAACTGTTAGTCTGTTTCAGCAAAAATGAGGAGTCCTGAGGAACCTTAGAGACTAGTTTTGGCATAAGCTTGAGAGAGCTGCCCTATTACGTCATACAAGCCAATTGCCCTCTACTTGCATTTTACCCTCCATATTAAGGGAATCCACTTTGTCAGCTGCCCTATTACGTCATGCAAGCCAATTGCCCTCTACTTACTTGCATTTTACCCTCCATATTAAGGTCTAGTTATTAGGTTAGTCATCCAGCTACACGTTATATTGCTCGAGTAAAAATAAAAACTGCAATGTTAACATTAATAAATCTGCTCCCCCTTTTTCCAAAGAACTGCCACAGAACTTCATAGCCAATTTGGAATAGGCTGCTTTGATCTCTCCAGGTATGCCCTCAGAATGTCATTTTTACTGATGGTGTTTGTAGAGCAGTTATAATCTAAGCATTTAGCAAAGCAGCATTCCCAATTTGACAGCATTCCCAGTTCTGCACTTGGTGCCCTAATATTTTAGAGATTTTTGCAGTTGAAGTAGGCAACAACTATTCTCACCCCTCGATTTGACTATGGACTGACCTTCAACATTAATCTGAACTTTCATTTTACCTTCAACAGAAAGCTTCTCAATAGCCCGTCTCTCTCCTCGGCTACAGTGAGGGGGGAGGCAGAATCCACGGATGCTCCTACCGGTTCGGACACGGGAGCTTAGTACATAGTTGGGGTCCAAGTCGTCACCACCCTGTAAGAGATTAAGTGCAACTATGCCATTAAGTTCTGCCCTATTTATGCACAGCCCTAATGCATTTTAGTACATTATTGGATCCCAAAGCCTTCAATATTTGAGAATAATTTAACATTAACCCAAACACAAGCCATCATGGGACTCCTTTTCCAATTAATAAGCTAGTGCTTGATGTACTGGGTGTGTACAACCCTCTTGGGTCAATGATCTCAACAGAGGAAAACAGCTCTAGTGTAACAGTTGGAGAAGATAAAGATCTAAACTTCTATTAAGGAGTCTATTTGCCAGTACACAAGTTTATTTCCCCTGCAGAAGTAGGCTATAAGAGGCAGCTCCCTGTTATATTTAGATGTTTGTCAACTGTTAGATGGCAAACAGAGCTAGAACATCAAGTTGCTACAATTAGAGTCTTTGCATTCAATTTTGTTTAAGTCTCCTTTATGTAGTATTTCACACATTGTTAGATTCAGATTAATATTTCCAGAATAAGCAACTGGAAAGGCAGGGAGAGATCTTTGACTCAACTTTGGAATGGATACTGCATAACAAGAAGTTTGTAAGATCCACTTGGGTACCAGGACCCAGCCTAGAGTCATCCTCGTGTAAGAGGAGAATAGCCATTTAACATTATTTCCACCTAGCCTGTGGAAAAGAATCCTTCCTGAGGGAAAGTCTCCAGAGAGCAATAGACAGGAATACAAACAAACAGAATCTGGTAGCCACGTAAAGTCACAAGAACAAGCAACTGCAGTTATGTTTGAATCTGGTAGCCACATAAAGTCACAAGAACAAGCAACTGCAGTTATGTTTGGCCAAGCTTTTCCATAATTTGGTCAGAGGTCTGATCACTACTACAATGCTGATAAGACCCTCTATACCTTTAAGTGATCAGGATTCAAGTCAGTCTTGTGCATATCAGTTGGTTTGTAGCCTCCATGTCTGTCCTCAATAATTGGGTCGAAGAGCAGCTTAAAGACATCATAGCATTCTTCATCACCAGCTACACATCCTACTGTCATAATGAAGGGATGGCCTAGAGTGGTAATAGAATTGTAAGAGCCAGTTTTGGATGATGTTTGACTGCACCTCAGAACAACATTAACCAGCTAAGTTTGTTCTTAAAATGGTGGCCTAGTCAATTGGAACATTCCTACACAGACAAAAGTCTTAGATATTTCATCCCACCAATGAAAAGTAAAGTTAGTGAAAACCCATAACTGTTGCTAATAAGCCATACGTGGACAAACAAATCTGGTTCAGGGAAAGATTTGTCCACAAAGTCAATTTTACTAGTGATGTAGTTTATGCTCAAGTAACTCAGATATTGCAGCCCATAATATACTGTACTTGGGACTTCAAAAACAACTTGACTTGTGGTTCAGACTGCCACCGATTGAGTTGCATTTGCTGTAGTTCTAAGCACCTCCACAGCTGGTTCTCACAGAATATTCTCAATTACTAGGATTATCATCAACCCCAGTCTGAATGAATCCAGGGTGAAGCCACAGTGTAACTGTCATTTTCTTGTACAAGTCCAGTTAGCACCGTGACCATACAGGTGCTTAGGGCCAGGGACTCCACACCAGGAGGCAGTCTGATTATTTAGCTGGACCATTTATACTACTCGAGTAAAAATAAAAACTGCAATGTTAACATTAATAAATCTGCTCCCCCTTTTTCCAGAGAACTGCCACAGAACTTCATAGCCAATTTGGAATAGGCTGCTTTGATCTCTCCAGGTATGCCCTCAGAATGTCATTTTTACTGATGGTGTTTGTAGAGCAGTTATAATCTAAGCATTTAGCAAAGCAGTTACATAATTCGAGTTAAGTCAGAACACTGCAGGCATTTCTCTGCATTGCTCAGTGAGACAAGGCCACTTTAACAAGCAGGCAGTGTTTTTGGGCAGGACTCACTGCTTGAGAGATCTGGCTTTTGACAGCTGAAGAGGCACTTCCTGTCTTGAGGGAGAACAGATGTTTGTGGCTCAAGAGGCTAGGTCCTTTACCTGGGTTGTCCACCCCAGTTTGGATAACATCATCCACGGTAAATCCACTGGAAGTCTGCTTGCCCTTCAACTTGCTGTACAGGTCCAGGGTCAGCACCTTGGCCATGTGATTGTTGTGAACACTCAGGTCTGGGAACTCATCCTCAGCACAGTACTTCATCTTCAGGAGATTGTGGCTGTTGGAGAATGGCATGACTTACGCCTGACTGCAAGGTGCTAGGGAAGGAGAAAGGGGAAGTCTCACCTGCTGAGCTTGGCACGTCCTTCCAAGCAAGCTCTGGGAGGACGCCATGGCATGCAGCAAGGTCACCTTGGCGTGTACTCCACCTGCCTGCGGCCCAGTTAATTGCCTGGTTTCTGAGGCACCTTCCACAGGCCTCATGACACCCTGCAGGCAGAACTACCCTCGTTTACACGGGGGGGAAGAGGAGGCTGCCCCAGCTCATGTGCAGATCTGTGGAAGAGGGGCCAGGTCTCCTCCGTCCGGGGCTCCAGGCGGCCCCATTGCCC